TCAGCCAGAAAGTCTTCGAAATCCTTGTTTTTGAATTCCAGCCCATTGTCACTTCTGATGTTTCTCACTGTCTTCTTTAATTGAACTTCCACTTGCTCGATGAACATCTTCAGCTTGGGAGTTGCATTTGATTTCGGTCTAAGAAAGAAAACCTACGTGAAACGTGAAAAATCATCTACAATTACTAGAATATACTTACTTCCTCCGATACTCTCTATAGCAGATGGTCCACACAAATCGATATGTAGCATTTCAAGTGCTTCCACGATCTTGGTATTAATGCGTGTTGGGTGGCTTTTTCTACTTTGCTTTCCCATTTCACATGCTGCACACAAATGCTCCTTTTCGATCTTTAGAAGAGGAAGACCTCGAACGTGATCACCAATTACCAATTTGTTGATATCTTTGAAGTTCAGGTGAGATAGACGTCGATGCCAAAGCCAACTTTCATCAATGTTTGCCTTTGATAGCAGACAGATAGCTGGTGTCCCTCGAATAGGATTAAGATTTAGAGGATACATTTCTCCTTTTCATGCAGATTTTAGCAGAACTTTCTTGGGTTGTTTTTCTATAATCTCAGATCCTGTATCATCGAATGATACCTTCAAGCCTGTGCCCACAACTAATTGTCAGACACTAATGAGGTTGTGCTGCAATCCCTCCACATAAGCCACCTTTCTGATGGAAAAGTCTCCATTAGTTATCATCCCGTATCCTTTGATTGTTCCATAGGAGTTGTTTCCAAATTTCACCGAACCGCCATCCTTTAGAGACCGAAACTCCCTTAGTTCCTCCTTTCTTCATGTCATGTGATGCGACCAGCCACTGTCTATATACCATTCGTCGTCGAATTGCTCGTCACTGATTACCTGCAATTTTAAGCAGATTTAGGAACCCAAAGTTCCTTGGGTCCTGGTGAGTTTTTCACAGGAAAGGAATTACAATAGAAGCATCAACAAAATAAGTTCGTTTAACGAGAGTTGTTTGATCTTTTCTTTTGATGGTAAACACCTTGATTTTTGTTTTATCTTCTTTAAATTTTAATGTATCTTTATAAGTTGGTTTAGTGTTTTTCGTTTGATTCTTAGGTTTAGGGGAGGATCGCTTATGTTTATATTGGAACCTGGAGGATCCATATCTAGAATTGGGATCGAAATCAGTGTTAGAACTGAATCTGGTGTTAGGACTGAACTTGAGTCGATGACTGAAACCTGGTCTAGAACCAAAACTTGGGTGAGAAATGAAACTTGGTTTATAACCGAAACTCGGTTGAGAACCGAAACTTGGTTTAGAACCGAAACTCGGTTGAGAGCCGAAACTTGGTTTAGAACCAAGACTTGACTTTCGGTTTTGGGATTTGGAATAATAGGAATTAGGAGCAAAATCTTCCTTTAACTTCTGCTTTCCTTTATCCATGGATTCTTTCCTAGGAGGCTCATAGTTAGGATTTTGAGAATTCCAATGCCTTTCCGTTCATTTAGATTCGAGGCATATCACTGATTTCTGAGTCTTTTCTGTTCAGCTAGCTCCTTCTGACATTTGTGAACATTGAAACTTGACTTTGATTTCTCCTTCATTATCTTGTCTTCCCCTCTGGTTTCGGTGCGTTCCTTAGTTTGAACTTTCGGTGCTTCATGTCTCTTGAGTGGACCTTTCGGTTCTTTTCTTTCGATTGGAGCATCAGGTTGCATTGATGGTTCTTCAGGAACATCTTTCGTTCCGCTTGTGTTGGGAATATCGAAACTGGAAGGTTTATTGATGGGTTCTAGTATGTATCATCCTTTGACTCTCCATGTGATTCTCTCAGACAGACCCACAGTCTCATCTGCATTGTCAGTGGGAGCAGAACAGAAATAGTCTTCACATCCTTCAACATTATCCTCTTCAACTATCGTCCTTAATTCAGCTGTTAGTCTGTGAGTGACTCCAGTCACAGCATAAACTTGTTTTTGGTACGGTCTGTACCTTCTGATAAACTAAGGCCTTTTCTTTGAGTTTCGGTTTCTGTTCCTTTGACAGACGAGCAAACTCAACTGACTTTTCTGAAATAAGAGGTTTTTCACTCTTGGCTTCACTTTTCACAAACTCAGAACAATCAACAACATCCTTTGCTGAGATTTCAGTCATCTCACTTTCTGTTTCAAATTCAGAAGACTTATCTATTATTATTTTATTATCCTTGATGATTTTGGCATTTGATTCATCGAATGTTTGTATAGTTTCGGTTTTAATTTTCAGCCTATCATTTTCATCTAAGATATCTCTTAACATACTTTTATGTTCCTTAGAATCGATGAAAGTTTCTATCTTATCTAAACCTAGCCTATATGACAGGGATGTTTCTTCAGAGGAAACTTCTGATTCACACTCTGCTATAACATCATCTTCCTTAAATTCAAGAAAGGGCAAAATCATTTTATGTATTTTCTTTCCAAATTCACAATTACGATGTAATTGAGAAATATTGTTATAAAGACGCTTAGCAATTAAACATAAAACATTTCTTTTTTTTAATAATTTCAAATTGTCTCTTTGCAAATAAATACTCTCATCCCTAGCCCTAACTAAATCCGCTTCCTTCTGCTCAATCTAGATCCTTCTCTCCTCACTTTTTGAAGACACCTTGCCGAGTTAGTCAGTTAGGTTAGAGTGTGCTAAGCGGGTTTGCATGAGGCTACTAATTAGGTTGTTAAATTTAAAGTTTAGTTCATGTAATTCTTCTAGATATTCAGTTTTGGAAGTTTTAAGAGATTCAAGGAGAGAATGTACCTTCTTGATCAATCGATTGCAGTCGTTATTCTTCTCACTCACTGGCTTGGTTGCAAAACACTTGTTCTCAGTCATGTTCGGTTCTGTGTCTGCACTTTCGGTTGATGGTCCAGCAGTGACGATCAAGCATTTTCCACCAGAACCTCCATTCTTTGCCAGAAACGCCTTTCTATGCGTGGGTCTTCTAACCTCTTCGTCTTCAGAATCTGTTGACCAGACTTCTACACCGCCAAACTCGTCTTCCCCTGCATTTTCTTGTACAATTAGAGCATTCATTGAGCTGTTGGAAGCCTTTTCCTTTTTGACTTCTTCAATTTTTCGCATGTAATACACTTCATCATCTTCACCCTCTCTCTTCTCAGCCATCTTTCATAGCATGCAATCTTTGGCAAAGTGGTTCTTGCCGTGACAGTAATTGCAGTCGTATCCAGAGTCTCCTGCAAGTTTTTTTTCCTTTTTCTCTTCCACCTTTTGAGAAGAGCCTTTCGGTTCCTCTTTTACTTTCTCGGAACTGTAACTTCCTTGCCAATTTCGGTTCTTATTGGTAGGAAATTTTCTTCTTGCAAATTTCTTTGGATTTGTTATCATTAGAGCATACTCCTCACTTGTAAGATCACATTATGACATGTCTGACTCTTCTTCTTCCTCAACAACACTTTTTCCTTTAGAGACAAGAGCCAGCGATCCCATGCCAGAGACCACTTTCGCCTCCTTAGTTACAACACTTTCATGTGACTTCAGTATCCCAACTAGTTTCGCCAGAGAGTAGGATTTGAACTGTTCATGCGCCTTCACAGTGGAAACCACAACCATCCATTCTGGTCTGAGCCCGTTCATGAATGTAACTTTATGTATGATCACCTTCCTTTCAATTCCATTCTTGATCATCTTACTTAAAAGATGATTGAACCGATCAAAGGTCTGAATGAGCTTCTCTTCAGGTTTCTATTCAAATACTCCAAATTCTGACAACAACAGAGTTTGAATGGAGTGTTCCAGATCCTCATCAGTTGAGTAGAGTTCCTTCAACCTATCCCAGGTTTCCTTAGTAGTTGTGCATGAGCCTACAAGCCGAAAGGTGTCAGATTGTAAGGAGAATCTTATCATTCGCATGGCTTTGACATTACATAGAATCGTGTCCTTCTCATCTTGCGGCATCTTTTGAACATTTGTCACCAACTTGTTGTAATCTTTCTGTGTCTTGACGATGGTGTTTGTTTCTGAGTGCACGAACGGTCCAAGAACAATTGCTTCCCATATGAGATAGCCATTACCTTCGGATCCAACCACGTAATCTTCAATGTGATGAGCCCATACTTCGTAGTCTTGAGTGTAGAGTATGGGTACTCTAGTTGTAGAACCGATGTTGTTTGAGATGTTAATACGGTTTGTATGCGTATCTTCATGAGACATGGTGAGCTGCTAGAATCTTACTTGTAAACTTAAGATTAGGGTTTTATCAAAAGCTAGGTAGTCGTCGTTAAGAAGACGACGGCTTCGATAAAAGCGGAAACCCTAACTATTTGTGAATACAGAAGAAAAGTGTATCGACGAACACAATCTCGTGCTCTGATACCAATTGTTAGAACAAAGTTCTATCAGGATCGTATGACTCTAAGAAGAATATAAATAAGAATGTAAATAAGAACACAAGTATTGCAATGAATATGTCGAATGATTAATGCAAAATACCCCAGAAGAGCTCGATTAAGAACTTTAATGTGTAGAGGTAAATATTAGGGTTACAAGAATCAACGTGAACGACTATTCTCTCTTATATGCATACATGCATGCATATATTTATAACAAAACCCTAACAACTTATCTAGAAAAAGGAAACTATTCTAGATAACTACGGATGGATAAGCCCAATCCGATTACAAAACAAAAAGCCCAAGACGCAACACTAAAATATTCAACACAGAGGCATTATCACTTTTTCTACATAGATTGCTCACTTGACTAGCATCGGCCATGAGTAAATAAAATTTAACCCCATTTAGCAAAATAACATTTATAATGTACATAGAGTTATAAGGTTATATGGGATTTTTAGTATGGGATTTCATCAACAGAGATGCAATCATGGGAACTATCATCATTGACTTCAAAGATTGATCATATGCATGTGTTTCTCAGGTGACAGTTGGAGAATTGCAATCGTATTGTTGGTACGTATGCTATATATCCATTAACCTAAAAAATATTCGATTACTAATACGTATATAGTAATGGGTATCTTAATTCTTAAATCTTATTGTTGTTTGGTTGATGCGGGAGAAAAGAAAGAAATTGCATTCAGGAGGTCGTTCAATCAGCTGTTTGAAACAAGCAATATGGATAACATGAAAATCCTCAAAATCTTGATTAGTCCAAGGGATGATATACAACCACTCTTCGATGGCAATAAAAAGATGAAGGTATACTATCAACACTTTCAATATTTACGATTTTGTTACTTGAGGAGGACATTTACGTCTTTTCCACACACAGGTTAGTCTGGAAGTCCTAAGGAGGAGGAGCGTGTTGTTGTTGATATTAGGGCTAGACATGTCTCGTGAGGAGTTTTCAATTCTTGAAGAAATTTACAACGAGTCCCGCATTCACAGATCAAGGACAAATGCTCTTTATGAAGTCGTGTGGATTCCCATTGTGGACCCCTCTATAAACTACACCAAAGAGATGGACAGGAAATTCGAGGAGATGAAGGAGAAAATTCCATGGTATTCTTTATCCCACCCTTCGATAATAGACAAGGTTGTTATCAAGTGCATAGGAGACAGGTGGCATTTTAGAAAAAGGCCTATATTAGTGGTGTTGGACCCACAGGGAATGGAGTTGAGCCCTATTGCAATCCACATGATGTGGATTTGGGGCAGAAATGCCTTCCCTTTCACCAGCATGAAAGAGGAATTGTTATGGAGGAATGAAACTTGGAGGCTAGAGTTGCTCGTTTGTCGCATGGACTCCACAATTAAAAATTGGGTGAGTTCTTGAAAATAATAATCTTTGTAATATTACTAAATTTTATGTCATGAATGGGTGTAAACGTGTAACGAATTTTTTTTAGATAAGAGAAGACAAATACATATTCTTGTTTGAGGAGATGATATCGAGTGGATACGCAAATTCACAAACACAACTGTGGTAATGGCTACTGCTACCCGAATCCCATTAGAGATGGTGTATGTTGGAAAAAGCAAGAAAAAGGAAAGTGTACATAGGGTTGTTACTACCATTAATGTGGAGAAGCTTAGCCATAGCTAGCAAGAACCAACCCTAATGTGGTTCTTCTGGACACGTTTAGAAAGCATGTTGTACTCCAAGATTCAATTAAAGAAGGCTGATGATAAAGACCCGATGATGCAACAGATCAAGAAACTTCTAAGCTATGACAAAGATGGATCATGGGATTTGTTGTGTAGAGGGTTAAAGATTCTGACTAATGGACATGGAAACACAATGATGCAAACACCATCTGACTTTGATATGTGGAAGAAAGATATAGAAACAAAGGGGTTTGATTTGTCGTTTATGGAGTACCAGGATAAGCTTCATGTTGCAGCGAATAATTGTTGTAGATTTGAGTTTCCAATAGCACTAGGTAGAGTCCCCGATGGGATGCGGTGCCCTGAGTGTCATTGTGTCATGGAGAAATACATTGCTTTTCTTTGTTGCCATGATCAAGATGGCCTACTTGAACTCGATTGAGAATTATCTACATACAACTATGGAACTACCAATCATAAGTTAATCCTCAGCATCCATAGTAGTTCTGGGAAGAGAATCGCCCCGATTAGGTTTCCTAGCTTTATGCAAACCCTCCAATTTCCACTGCGCTTTCCCGATTCCTAACACAACAGCTCCAGTAGCACTTGGCTTTCGTTGGGCTCAGTAGATAGTAGATGAAGACTGATAGACAACCCCGTGAGGAATAACATCGCTTAAATCAACCTCAGTCCACACAAATCGACCCACCGCTCCTTTATCAGGAGGCTTAACCTTTACATCCTTCAGAAAAGAGATGAAAAAGGGTAGAGAGAAGTCGTACCAGGTTTTAGGGTACACAGAGAAAGGGTGTAGAGGATTATAGAGAGAGAAAGGGTAGAGAGAAAGTGTTGTTTTGTACCGTGAAGTTTCTTAATCTATTTCCTCAAGTCGGCCTCAAACTTCTCCTTTTGATTGGCATTGTCAGTATCGTATCACTAAAATACGAAATTCAACAAGAGAACATGAAACTTCAGCATTCAGATTACACAAAAACAATAACGTCAATAATTCGAAGAAAATTAAAAGCATTTACGAAGAGGCCTGGGAGAAAGGATTAGGAGAAGTCGTACCAGTTAGGGTAGAAATCAAACTAGTTTCGATTGTTGCAGAGGCCTAGGAGAACCGCTAGAAAGCGTTTTGTATTTTCTTGAAAAAGCCCTAGGTGTGAATGAAGGGAGATAGAGGAGAGATCGAAGAAGCGGGCACTTCAAAATTTTTGCCCTTTCAAAACGTGCGTTTGAAAAAAAAATATATAAAGCGACATTTTTAGAGGACTCCCATTTAAAACAAGTGCCCTCTGTGTTTGTATTTTTTTTATTGGACATTAATTTTAAGGCGTGTAAAAATACACATCCTCAATCCTTCAAATTTTGGAAGGCTGACATTATTTTTAGGGGCACACAAAAATGCGTATCGGTAATCAGCGAGTATCATTGTTCGCGCGTCATTAAAGGGTATTTTGCTTGTAGTGCATTTGTTTAATCATCTTTAGGGCTTGGATTTTGGTATATTTAGGGTATTATAAGCCATTTTCGGGTTGTGGAGTGTAATATGGAGTTATAGCTTCAGATCTTGGTCTTTGGAGGGGTCTCATGGCAGATAGGTGCCAACTCTATGGCCATGAGAGCCCCATGTATCTTGTAGGTTTCATTTTTGGTCCTTTTTAGCTTAAAGACCCAGGCATGGATGTAAACTTTGAGACTTTATTTTTATATTGAACCTAGGAGGTCAGATCTATCCTTTGGATGAGATGAGCTTAGGAGAAATCGAGTTTACGGACACATGGACATGGCGAGTTGTTCTTGGGACTTGGCGAGTCGGGTAGTGGTTCCCCAACCCTTTCTTCTTTTGGGGGCCTGGTTGAGTCTAGAGAAGGACTCAACAAAGTTGGACGAGATTATAGACAAGGAGATCATGGGACTAGACGAGTGTATGACTAAACTCAACGAGTCCAAAACAATCTCCCAAAAAATAAAGATGGGCTCGAAGAGCTGTTCATACAACTTGGCGAGTTATAGACTAAACATATTCTATAATGGAGGACCCGTCGAGCGGAGTCGGCACTGGATCATTTTGGAGGAATAGGGACTCGCTGAGTTGGTAGATCAACTCGGCGAGTCAAGTCAACTGAAGGTTGACTTTGACCAAAGTTGACTTTGACCAGGATTTGGGTTGACCCTTATAGGGGTTGTGAGTACGAATTAATGACTTAATAGAATTGTTCTGTGGGGATCGAGGAGTCGAGGAAAACCATACAACTACACGACATTGAGGTGAGTTATCTTCCAGTAGAAGTCGGTTTAAGGCACCAAGGCCGACCCACTAGTAGTTGATTATAGTTGAGATGATTCTCTTTGTGATAATTGTATGGTTTTCTATTACTTGATATGTTCTATGCGATGGGTTTTGGTCCTAAGAACATCCTATGTGCTCATACAAACTCTAATGCTCGGATCTAGGTTTCTCTATTGTACATGCAAGTTATGCAAGACTATAAACCCTAATTCTAGCATACAAGTAATCATATTAACATAAGAATGAGTTTATAATGTTACCTTGATTGTTATGTAGCAATAACAATCACAAATCTCCTTGTATTGACTTTAGAAAGCTTAGAGTCACAAGTGTCACTCCTCTAATGGATCACAAACACCATAAGCAAGAGGATGAAGAGGAGAGAGGTTGGAAGCTACCCAAAACGTGTGAAACCCTAACACAAAGCTTAGCCACGTTTTTGAGCCTTAAGGGGTTTTATGTAGTTCGGCTATTAGGGTTATCTAACAAGGAAACCCTAAATTGGATGTTTAAGCCCTAGGCAACCCATGGAGCCCTTTCCTCAAGGCCTTGGACTATTTCATATGGGCTTCCCCATAGAATTCGTCCACCTTATCATATAAGGCAATCCATGGCCCAAATTATAGTTATCTTATAATTACAATTCCAGTCCCTTAAGTTTAATTAATCTCTTTTAGTCACAAAACTAATTACTAATTAATTATTGACTAATATTAATTAAACAATATGATTTCTCCTTTAATATATTATTCTCATAATACATTAATAAATCATATTTAATCCTTTCTCTCCATAATTCATCCTATCAAGTTGCTTTGGTGACGGCAACCCAAAAGGACCATGCACCATCGGGTCAAGTACATACCAAAATTGTCACACCCCGAAAACCGAAGGCGGAAACATTTCCGGGGTTGACTCCACGTTGAGTATCAAATCCAATGCACATAGTAAGTAAAGTAAAACAACCAATACATTACATAAGAAAGTTTTACAGTTGTTTCAAAAGTAAAGTTTGTACAGTTGTAATACATAATATATATATAAACAAAAGAAACGGATCTTCATGTACACCGTCTTCAAGCAAAAAGGATCTTTGGGTACCTGTTCTAACGCTGACCTGAGTCACAAGCGGTTTGAAAATCAGCATAAAGCTGGTGAGTTCATAAGCGGTTTTTGTTTATGAAAATGTTTCAAGTCTCCTTTCTGTTTCTGAAATGTTATGTATACCAAGAAAATCCCATATTTTCTTAAAGTTGATTATTGTTTCACAAATGTAAGGTATAGTAAGTTTGTACACTGAAAACATGTCTACTCATGTGAAAATGTATAGTTGGTTATCTGACTTGTTAAACTGTTTTGTTTACCTATCGTGTGTTACCAGCAAAGTCTCATACTTTCCTTATTGTATGTTACTAATTGTAAAAGATGTAATGTTATCCAGTTTGTTACTCTTTTTGATATGTAAGTATTACCTAGGAAAGCCCCATGCTTTCCTACATGTTGGTTTCTAATGTGAACGATCTTAAAGATGTAAAAGATGTAAACGTGATTAGGTTCCATGTTTTTCCGAGGAAAGTCCCGTACTTTCCTGATTGTTAGTTACAATACGTGAAAGATGTAAAAGATGTAAAAGATGTATAAAGTGGTTCATTATTAATATAAGTAAATCTCTGTTATCCTAATTGCGAGTTCCATAACCATACAATAGACTAAAACCTGTGGCAATAAGTAGTCCACATGTGGCAATAAGTAGTCCACATACTTATGACTTTCGTCACCCTTGAACCAATTCGGTTTGGCTGTAGCTAGCAGCCAGGTGTGGGGTAGTCATCCCCATATAGATCTATACACTCAAGTTACGCTCTCTAAATACCAGAGATTCTAGTTATGGGTGTAGTCCTCCACTCGCGTATTTCGGTGGAGTGTTCTCCGAGGACGTGTCTCCAATCATACAGGATTAACAAATTTACTAGTAATAATACAATAGTCCTCCACTCGCGTATATGTGTGGAGTGTCACCTCTGATCTCAAGTTTCTTTTCCATTCCTCTCAAGGCTTCATTTGACATGTTCTCGGGTTTGAGGGTTGTTAACTGGGCTTCTCGGATTTGTATGGGTAAGTTGGAATGGATGGTCATCGTCTGGTTCTTCACTTTGTGGCCTGCACTATCCTTTCGGCTAACGGCATCTGCTACCACATTGGCCTTGCCGGGGTGGTAACGGATTTCACACTCATAATCACTGAGTAATTCTACCCATCGCCGTGGCCTCTTGTTTCAGTCTTTCTGATTAAAGATGTGCTGCAGGCTCTTGTGATCAGTGAAGATCGTGCACTTGGTTCTGTAGAGATAATGTCTCCAAATCTTCAATGCAAAGACTACTGATCCTAGTTCCAAGTCATGTGTAGTTTAGTTGACCTCATGTGCTTTCAGCTGTCTAGAGGCGTAGGCAATCACCTTTCCTCTTTGCATAAGCACACAGCCTAAACCTTGATTAAACGCATCGCAGAAGACAACGAAGTCCTCTGTCCCTTCAGGCAGAGACATAACAGGCGCGCTGCATAAGGCTCGCTACATAACAGGCGCGCTGCATAAGGCTCTCTTCAGGCAGAGACAACGAAGTCCTCTGTCCCTACATGAATACCCTCCTCGCATACAATGTGACCAAGGAAAGTTACCTTCCGTATCCAGAATTCACATTTGGAAAATTTCGCGTATAGCTTTTCGGATCTAAGGATCTCCAACACTAGCCTCAAGTGTTGCTTGTGGTCTTCTTCACTTCGGGAGTAGACTAGGATGTCGGCAATGAACACGATAACGAACTTGTCTAAGAAGGGACGGCACACCCGGTTCATCAGGTCCATGAACACAGCCGGTGCATTGGTTAGACCGAAGGGCATCACTACGAACTCGTAGTGTCCATACCGAGTCCTAAAAGTTCTTTTGGAAACATCATTTTCCTGGACTCGTAACTGATCGTACCCTGACCGAAGGTCTATCTTTGAAAAGTAGTTGGCTCCCTGAAGTTGATCGAAGAGGTCGTCTAATCGTGGAAGAGGATATCGGTTCTTAACGGTTAACTTGTTCAGTTCACGATAGTCGATACACATCCTAAAGGATCTATCTTTCTTCTTGACAAACACAACCG